TCCATATTCATAACTATCACTTTTACCTATTGCCAGGATGACTGGTGAGCAGGAACAGTGAGAAGCGAGATGGTTTTTCACGTGTTTTGACGTCACGTTCCTTGTCCATGAATGACCCACTGTTTGCCCATTTTCCTAATGCATTCTCCCTCTTTTTTTTTATCATTGCCAGGGGACAGGCGCATAAATGAAAGAGTGAGAGAGAGAGAGAACATGCATTCCCCCGTGGGGTGTGGTCACCCCACAACCCCTTCCCCATCAGGATTTGGGCACATACACACATGTGCCTGGCCGTGTGTTTCAACCTGCCAGGGCTGGGATGTGAACCGTGGTCGCCCATGTAAGATCCAGCTCCTGATGTACAGTGCTTGACTGCTGCGCTATGGGGCCGGCCCTCCAGGAGACTGTCCTTGTCTTACTTCACAGGAGTCTTTTGTAAGATACAAATTACTAGGTAAATGTTTGCTATAAATATCTTGTAATCTACACCACTTCACTTTTTTAATAAATCCTTTGCAGATAGGAAGGTTTCTTGACGTTTTAAAAGAAATTTGAATGTGGTCAAGTTTTTACATATTAGGTTTTGCCCATAGGGCATGTGCGCTCGCCAGAGAGAGGGAGAGTGAGAAATCATCCACTGGGGGGGATGGCCAAGCCACAACCCCTTCTCCTCCATTCTCTTCTTGGGATTTTGGGTATGCATGCACACATGCGTATCCTGATTTTCAAGCCTGGGTTTGGGACTCGAACCATGGTCGGGCCATGAGAGAATATAGTGTCTTAACCACCACACCAACTACTAGCCCCTATATATCCTTGTATTTATTTTTTTTAATGATTTCTACTTCTTGGACCAGCAGTTAGCATAATGGCTATGTCACTGGACTCCTGTGTAGCTGATCACAGCTTGAGTCCCAGACCCGGTGGTTTAAACTCATGCCGGGCACATTTGCCAAAGATCCCAAGAGGAGAATGGAGGAGAAGGGTTTGCAGCATGGCCATGCCCCCTGGGGGATGATTTCTCGCTTTCTTTCTCTATGTCTCTCTCTGTCTTTCTGGCAAGCACAGGCACCCTATAGCAAAAACCTCTCCCCCCCTCAAAAAGAAAGAATGAATTCTACTTCTTGGGTCTCTCAAGCTCACTTTCCTATCCCAAAGTCTTAAAAATATACTGTATATTTTTTCTAAAAGTTTTACAGTTTGCTTTCCACAGTTTCATCTTTAATCTAGAAGTGAATTTTTTTATGTAGTGTTAGGCTACATATCACTGTTATATATGTGAAATGTATATATTACATAAAATAATTTGTAGTATATATTTGTGTATACATATTTATATTCAAACACACACACATATGCAGAAGTCGGCATCCTCTTTCTTCTAAATTTAAAGAGCACGTACTTACACATGGGAGAGGCAGAGCGGTAAGAGAAGCACCCTCGATGATACGCCGTGCTCCTTTTCCCCGCCTCCCTGCTCATCAGGCTCCTGGGCGTGCACGCGCCCGTTGGCTATCCTTTTTTTTTTTCTTTTTCTTTTTTTGGAGAGGTGTTTTTGCTATAAGGCGTGCACTCGCCAGAAAGAGATACAGAAAGCAAGAAATCACCCTCCCCAGGGGGGATGGCCACACCACAATCCCTTCTCCTCCATTCTCCTCTTGGGATCTTAGGCACGCATGCACACGTGCCCGGCGTGAGTTTAAGCCACTGGATCTGGGACTCGAACTGCGGACGACTATGTGGGAGTCCAGCGACATAGCCATTACACGCTAACTGCTGGTCCCGGCTATCCTTTTTTAATAGTCAATCTTTTCCCCATTTATCTGCAACACCTGCTCTCCATGGAAATTATTTCTAGGCTTGTTTTCCAGTAGTCTCTCTGTCTATACCATCCTCGTAACTATAAACGTGTAATGATTCATATTGTGTGTTCAGGGATGCTTTCTACCTACTATTTCTACAAAATTACCTCCTTTTTTTCATATACATTTTTTAATCAGCTTGTCGAATTCTACAGAAAATATTCAGAATCTTGATTCAAATTTCAATTCTCCCCAAAAATTAACTTGGGGAGAATATCCTTAAGATAGTAACTCTTCCTATCTATAAACACAGTATCTCTGCTTTTATCTAGGTCTTCGTAATGACTTTTAGCAAAATTATGTAATTGCTTCCAAAAGTTCATATATGATTTTTCTTCATTTACTCCTAGGTAGCTTACGTTTTCTTTGCCTTTAAAATAGCTTTTTTTTTTTTTGGGGGGAGAGATTTTCACTGTAGGGCGCGTGCGCTCGCCAGACAGACAGAGACATAGAGACAGAAAGCGAGAAATCACCCCCCAGGGGGGATGGTCACGCCGCAATCCCTTCTCCTCCATTCTCCTCTCGGGATCTTGGGCGCGCACGCACACGCGCCCGGCGTGAGTTTTAAGCCACCGGGTCCGGGACACGAACCGCGGTTGACTACGTGGGAGTCCAGCAACATAGCCATTACGCTAACTGCTGGTTCCCTAAAATAGCTTTTAAAAATAGCTTTTAAAATGTTAATCTGGGGCCCAGCAGATGGTACAGTGGTTACGTGGCTAGACTCCCACCTGGCTGACCGGTCGGAGTCCTGGGCCAGTGGCCTGACAATCATGCCAGGTGCCTGTGCATGCATGCTCCCAGAGCACAGGGGAAGAATGGAGGAGAAGGGGTTGCAGCGCGGCCATCTCCCTGGCAGGGGTGGTGATTTCTCACTTTCTCTTTCACTGTCTGTCTCTCTCTCTGTGGAGTGCATATGCCCCATGGCAAAAACCTCTTTAAAAAAAATTAATCTGTAACTTTGTATTGCTGATGTTTAGAAATGCAATTGATCTTTTGCATTTTGATCTTGTGTCTAAACCTAAACTCTCACTAATTCTCCTGTTTTTTCATTGATTCTCATAGGCATTTCATAAGTAATCATATCATCTAAAATTAAATGAGTTTGGTGCCTTCCTTTCCTACCATAATGTTCTTCGTTTAGACCTTTTTTAACATTTGCAATAGGGTACATGTGCCCACTGGAGAGACACAGAGAGAAAGTAAAAAAACACTCCCCCAGAGAAGATGGTCACACTGCACTCCCTTACCCTCTATTCTCCTCTCAGGATTATGGGCATGGGCACACACACACGCCCCCATGTTTCCGAGATGCTGGGTCCAGACGCAAACACTCCATGTGGGATGCACTCACCTTAGCCACCATACCACCAACTGGCCCTTTTATTTCCTTTTTTTTGAGAGGTTTTTACTCTAGGGCGTGTGCACTTGCCAGAAAGACAGAGAGAGACAGAGAGACAGAAAGCGAGAAATCACCCCCAGGGGAGATGGCCACACTGCAATCCCTTCTCCTCCATTCTCCTCTTGGGATCTTGGGCATGCACGCACACACGCCTGGCATGAGTTTAAGCCACCGGGTCCAGGACTTGAACTGCGGCCGACTACATGGGAGTCCAGCGACATAGCCATTCCGCTGACTGCTGGTCCCCAGCTGGCTCTTTTATAGTCTTCTTTTATATCACTGCATTGTCTAGGAACTCCAGTACAATGCTCATGAAAAGTACTGGTGACAGGCACCCGTGTGTCTCCTAATTTTAAATATTTTTAATGTTTTTACTATGAAATGAAATATTCGCTCTAACTTTTTGTAGACATTTTATTAAATTCAAGAATTCTTTAAATTCCCTATTTAAGAGGTTTTTAAAAATTCATAGTTGATACTAGATTTGATCGAATGACTTTCCTATATCTACTATGGAATGAATACAGATAACGTGGTTAATAACACTAAGAGACATTATTAACCACAAATCTCCCTGAAAATTCTAAAATATACTCAACCTTGGCCTATCTTCAGTTTTCTAAGATCGTATTCATTATTGTTCCTTCTATAATTCCTAGGTGAAATTAGTCAGCAAATTTCCCTTTAGCATCTTGTCCGTGACTGGTCATGCAATTCATAAAACGAGTTAGGACACATCCCTTGTTTCTCCACCCCTTGGAGAGAAGACTGAATGAGAGCAGAACGACCTGTCCTCTGTTTGTACTTTTTTATTTGCTCATTTGGTAAGTATTCAATGTCTTAAATGGGCAGGACTATTCAATTTTACCTAAGTCCATTTGTAAGTTGCATGTGTCTAGGAGTGTTCATTTCATACAAATTTTTACAAATAGGGCTAGCTCTATGGCCTGGTGGTTTAAGGCAGCTGGCTCCCACTTGGCTGACCACATGGTTCAAATACCAACCCCAGTGGCTAAACAGTCAGGCCAGCCCTGTGTGCGTGCATGCCCAAAATCCTGATCAATAGGAAAAGGGAGAAAAAGAAACTGTGGCATGCCTATGCCCCACCGGGGGAGGGTCCTTTCTCCCTCCCTCTCTCTCTCTCTCTCTCTCTCTGGTATCTCCCTCTCTTTCTCTCTCTCTGGCAAGTACCCATGTCCTCTGGCAAATAAAAAAGAGAGTACATGCTCACCAGAGAGACCAAGAGAGCACCCCTCCATGGGACGGGATCATACTGCAGTCCTAATTCCTTCATGTCTCTGTCCCGTCAGGATTTGGGGCAAACATGGACATTCGAGCCATGTGGGAACTGGCTCCCTTAATCAGTGAGGTATAGGACCAGGCCCATTTCATACAAACATTTAAATTTATAAGCACAATATTCCTATTCCACTTTTGAATAAAATAATTGTTTCTGTGGTTATGTCCCCCTTGTTCGTTCCTTTGGTCTTGGTTGTTTGACCAGTGGTATGTCTATTTGACAAGACTTTTCTAAGAATCAACTTTTGGAATTGTTGAAGATTCCTCATGCATATTTGTTTTCTACCTCATTACTGTCTGTCCTTTGTTATTTTCAACCTTGGAGATTTTCTGTTGTTCTCTGTCCAACGTAAGTTCAGTCTTGGCTTAACACATTCCCAGCCTTTCTTCGGTTCTAAAGTAAGCCTTCCAGGTCATGTTTCTATCATGCAGCTTACCTTGCTTTCAAGCTGAGGGGCTTTCCACGGGGAGCTCATGGTCATGGACCCTTTTCTCTGGAATAGACACTGCAGGGCAGCTTCCAAGGACCCATGGGCCCCGAGTACCAAGATCTTCTTTCCATCTAAGTTGACACCTACCAAGCAAATGAACATTCGGTATTATAGTCAATGCTATAGATCCTGCCTCTCATTTAACTTCAGCTTATGCAAAAATACTTTTTTGAAACTGGCCTTCTCAGTAACAACCAACAACAACTATAAGCTAGCAGTAGAGTGTTGAAATTAACTCAAACTCTCTATTCCAGCCCTCTTGGTTTTCATATTGCTAACTTGTCCTCTACATTACTGTATTCTTTTTATTTTTATTTTTAGAAGATTTTTTGTTGTTGTTGTTATAGGTACACTTGCCCTCTCAAGAGACAGACAGAGAGACAGAAAGTAAGAAATCATTCCCCTCAAGGGGGTTGGCCACACTGCAATCCTTTCTCCTCCATTCTCCTCTTGGGGTTTTGGGCACACACACACACCTGCCTGGCATGAGTTTCAAGCTTCTGGGCCTGGGACTCAAACCGCAGTTGGCCATGGCGGAGTCCAGTGATGTAACCACTACACCACCTGCTGGTCCCTACATTACTGTATTTTACTAGCCATAATTTATTCTTTCTTTGAGAATTTTCCAATAAAATGGTTCAGTCATCATCTTGACAATCCATATGATGAAAAAACACTACATATAAGCATTATTTCATAGATATGAATTTAATGGCTATAGGTATATTCTAAAAGTTCATCTTTAGATAGAACTTTGCGGGGTCAACAGGTGGCGTGGTGATTAACGCGCCAGATTCCTGCATGGCCAACCGTGATTCGTGATCTGGACCTGGTGACTTGCTTTCTCACTTTCCCTCTCTCTCTAGTGAGCACACGTGCCCTATAGCAAACTTTAACAAATTTAATTTTAAAATTTAAATAGAACTTTGGTATGTATCTCTAGAATTTTTGTTTAATTGTTGCATTAACTAATTGTCAGGGTTGAGGGAGGGACATATGACTCTTTTCTATTCAAACTGAAGTAGAGAAAAATTAGTTACTTGGATTTTAATATTCTCAGCTAGAAAGTCCTTCAATATATAAACTATTTGGTAGTAATTTACTCACTACATTTAATAACCAAGGAAGAGAAATTATTCGTTCCTATTTTAATTTTTAGAAGATATAAAAGATATAAAAATGCAAGGTGAAGGGGAGAATGATGGAAATTAAGTACTGACTACTGTAAAGATACTGTTCACTAATAAACGTTACTGTTCAATACCCTAAATTACAGTGTACTGTTCTTCATCTAAGCCTTAAATGTAAGTCTTATTTAGGTCTACATAGGGACAGATTTAAAAGCTGAAGCTTGAAACATTGTTCACGGTGGTTATTTTGACCATTTTATGAGAGAAATTCAGAATGTTTAAGGCTAATTATTCATCCTTACCAATTTCTTTATTTAAATTATAATATAGTCAATCTTACTAGAAAATTTTCCAGTTATTCATTTGTTATCTCTCAAAAGATAAGAATAAAAACAAATTTGACATTAAATGTAACTTCCAGCCAGCCCCATAGCCACGTGGTTACAGAAGCCAGAGCCCACACAGCCAACTATGGCTCAAATCCCACCCGATGGCTTAGGAACCACGCCAGATGCATGGGTGTGTGTGCCCCAAATCCCAACAGGATGGGGAAATGGAGAAGGGGCTGTGGCACGATTCTGCCCCACTGAGCCTCTCCAGCCAGCCCCTGGAAAACGAGATTGGGAACCAAACTTTATAAATCTGCTCAGGGACTTTCTCCCTCTCTTTGCCTCTCTCTGGCAAGCACACTCATCCTCTGGCAATTACAAATAAATTCTAAACAGTCACTTCCTCTTTCAATGAGCCTCTCCAGAAACAAATCATTATTGAAAAAATAACAATGCAGGCCCAGGTTTGAGTTCCAGTCCAACCGAAAGGTTGGGCCTTGTAACAGGTGCCTAAAATCTCAGCAACTCAGGGACTGAGGCTGAGGAAGGATTGGGAGCTGAAGGCTGGCCTGGGCAACACAGCGAGAGTGCTTCTAACAACGAGCTGGTTGGTACTGTGAGTCTGCAGTCCCAGCTGGGAAGCTGGGGAGAGACCCTGTCTGAAAAAATAAAACGATGCAGGGACCAGCAGTTAGTGTAATGGCTATGTCACTGGACCCCCATGTAGTCGACCATGGTTCGAGTCCCAGACCTGGTGGCTTAAACTCACTCCAGGATTGTGTGCATATGTGCCCAAGATCCCGAGAGGAGAATAGAGGAAAAGGGATTGCAGCGTGGCCATCTCCTGGGGGGTGATTTTTCGCTTTCTAACTCTCTGTCTCTCTGTCTTTCTGGCAAGTGTACGCGCCCAATAGCAAAAAACCTCCAAAAAAAAGAAAAAAATAAATAATAATGATGCAAATAAATACTCTCAAATAGAAATGAGCAGCATGTCCGAAGGATCATACCTGATTTTTCTAGAAGTTCGATGACAGCTCTGGCAACAGGTGAAACAAAACACTCATGGGCATCCCCACGCACCAACTTCCCTAGGTTCACGTCAGTCACCCTGCAGGAAATAAAGAACATGCAATGTGTAAGCCACATGTATCAATCCCGAATAAAATCCGAGTCAATGTTTGACTGATAGACTATATCTAATCTGAATTAAAGAGTGAGCAGGAGGGGCTGCCAGGTGGCGTAGTGGTTAAGGGTGCTGGACTGCCACATGACTGACTGCAGTTTGAGTCTCGGACTTGGCAGCTTGCTTTCTTACTTTCTCTCTCCCTCTCTCTCTCTCTCTCTTTCTTTCCCTCTCTGGTCAAATTAAAATTAAAAATAAACAAATAAAGTTGAATAAAATAATTCTTTTCTTTGGGGGTGGAGGAGTTTTTTGCTATAGGGCACATGCATTCGCCAGAAAGACAGAGACAGAGAGACAGAAAGCGAGAAATCATCCCCCAGGGGAGGACGGCCCTGCCATAATCCCTTCTCCTCCATTCTCCTATTGGGACCTTGGGCACACACATGTGCCCGGCATGAGTTTAAGCCACCGGGTCTGGGACTCAAACTGCAGTTCGACTACATGGGAGTCCAGTGACATAGCCAACTGATAGTCCCAATAAAATAATTCTTTAAAAAAAAAAAAAAAAGTGAGCAGGAAATAACAGCCATCGGCTTCTTAGAGCAGCCCCCTCAGAGACCTCACCCTGGGCCCTACCTGGGGAGTTCCGGGTTGCATGCACGCCAGGACAGAGAAAAAGGGGGGGGGAGTGACCTCACACCCTCACACTGTCAATGCCTTCTGTGCTTTTCCTCATTCAAATCCAGAACAAAACCTTCCACAACTAGCCTAAACTGATGGTCTCCATCCAGGTCAATAACAAAACTAAGAAACAGCTTTAGAATTCTCCGCTCGTGTGAAAGACCTCTATCCCAATACCTTCAGGTTCCGGATATTTTCTCACTGACCAGGACGTCTCTTCCCTTCATCGTCTACTGCAGGATTGGAGATTTTTGTGACAAGCTTTCAACCTGTGTTTGTCTCCCAAGTCACAGTAAAAGGATAGAACGAAGTAAGCCCGTGTCTCAGCGAGTCCCACGATTGGGAGTCTAACTTTATATATTGCTTAGGGGCCAGGTGGTGGCACAAAGGTAGTATAACTAGAGCCACGTAGGAAAGGCCCTGAGTTCACATTCTAAGACTTCCCTGAACCCACAGATGTGCTTGGGTCTGAGATCCAGGTTGGCTGCAGCTGGGGTGGATCACAGAACAAAACCCTGCTGGGCTGTCTGTCCCTATGTCTCTCTGTCCCTCTCTTATGGAAGAAATAAATGAATACACTTTTTTAAAAGATGATAAATTTGCTTACAACCTTGTAACTTTAACTATATTGTGTTCTTTTGGCCATGGCACAAAATACTTCCTATATTTCCAGTAAGGAAAGTGGCATTTTCTTCTATTTTTTTTAGAGAGATTTTTGCTATAGGGTATGTGCTATAGCACCAAAGAGACAGAGAGAGACAGAGACAGAAAGCAAGAAATAACCCCCTATGGGGGGATGGCATACTGCAATCCCTTCTCCTCTGGGGATTTTGGGCATACACGCATACATGCCCAGCATGAGTTTTAAGCTGCCAGGTCCAGGACTTGAACTGCAGCTGACTTATGTGGGAGCCCAGCAATGTAACCACTATGTCATCTGCTGGTCCCAAAAGTGGTGTTTTTAATCCCTGGACAACATGCTGGTCCCTGGTCACACACGGCAGCATTCTTTGTCCTGTGAAGCTGACGTCACTCCATGATGTGAATCAGAGCACGTCACAGCCCACTTTATAATTGCATCAAATTTCAAATAAAGCTTCATGTCATCAACGGAAGTACTTGTTCTGTTTTCTCAACTGGCCTGGGACTAAGGCAGACTACTACGGTACTCCTGGGGAATCAATTCTCAATGTTTTTGTCTCTGGACTGAGAAGAGGAGAGCTTAGGCCAGTTCGGGAGCATAGTGGTTAGGGTGGCTAGATCTCACAGAGCCACTGCGAGGCTGAAGTCTGGGACTCGGCAGCTTGAAAAATACGCTAAGCATGTGTGCGTGTATGCCCAAAATGCCGAGAGGAGAAAAGAGAAGGGACTGTGGTGTAGTCATCTCTCCCTGGAGTGTGCATGGGGGTGCCTTCTCGCTTTCCTTCTCACTTTCCTTCTCTCTCTCTTTCTAGTGAGCACATGAACCTTCATAGCAAAAAAAAAAAAAAAAAAAAAAAAAGAGGAGAGCTGGCCGGAGACTCTGTAAGTGCAAGAAGCATGTATGAAATTAAGACGACGATGTAAGATTATTTCCAAAACAGCACGCCAGCACTACAAAGGGGCCAGTGCATTTTCCAAATTACATGACTTTCACACAGAGAATTTTTTTTTTTTTGGAGAGATTTTCACTGTAGGGCGTGTGCGCTTGCCAGACAGACAGAGAGAGACATAGAGACAGAAAGCGAGAAATCACCCCCCAGGGGGGATGGTCACGCCGCAATCCCTTCTCCTCCATTCTCCTCTCGGGATCTTGGGCACGCACGCACATGCGCCCGGCGTGAGTTTTAAGCCACCGGGTCCGGGACATGAACCGCGGTCGACTACGTGGGAGTCCAGTGACATAGCCATTACGCTAACTGCTGGTTCCCCATACAGAGAATTTTAAAAGTTCTCAAACTCCTAAAATATTTCAATTGACCCCATTCATCTTTGAATCACTGACAGACTTGTAACAAATAGAAAAAAGGTAGAAAATGTAGAAGACAAAAAAAAAAAAAACAACCAGGAGAAAAAGTGACTTAGCCATAAGGTTGACTGACTGCTTTCTTTTTTTCGTTCTTACCCATCCACATCTTTTTCTGGTTTCAAGGCATTGAGAACTTTGCTGCTAAATGAGCTCTCAGAGATCTGAAGGGCGAGGCCATGTACTCTGGTGTCTTCATTAATCTTCAAAATTTCATCTATAATCTTAGGAGAGAAAAGACAAAAAAAAATGTTTTGAAAATCAGACTCAACAAAAGGTTTATATAAAAAATGGATTCATAAAAATGCAACTGTGGGGGCCAGCAGGTGCCATAGCAGTTATGTTGCCAGACTTCCACATGGCTGACCATGGATGGAGTTCCGGAGCCAGTGGTTTTAAACACACACCAGGGGCATGTATGTGCGTGCCCAAGGTTCTGGGAGGAGAATGGCGGAGAAGAAACTAGAGTTACCATCCGCCCGGGGGGGATGATTTCTTGCTTTCCCTCTCACTATCACTGTTACTGCCTCTGTCTCTCTCTCCCTCTCTCTCTCTGGCAAGTGCACATGTCCTAAGGCAAACATCTCTGAAAAAAAATTGCATCTGTTACAGTATCTTTTCATCTCTTCTTGAAGATAGTATAAAACACAACAAAGTCTATTTCTGTTTTTCACGAAGTTTAAAAAGCTCCCCACAAAAGCTGGGCTGAATTTTTCAGGGCTTTCTCCATCTTTCTTATCACTCTACACTGTGCTAGAAAAATACAAAACAAAATAAAACCAAAGCTCAACAGCAACTAAGCTTTAGATAGAGAAAAAAATAACAATTCATATCAAGTCAAATGCATTGTCAGTTTTCAGCGAGGCCAGGAAGACAAATGAGAGGCATTGCAACCAGGCCGGCTAAGCACAGCGCGTTCAACAGAAGCTTACTAATCATGACACCCGAGGCTGCCTCTGAGCCCTCAGGTTCTCTGGGCCTGAAGGGCAGGTAGGCAGTCTTTCCAACAGCTGGTGAGAGCAACTCAGCAGAAGCACACAGAGTTCCTCTGATAGGGGACACCAAAATCATTCACCATTTATGGAAAGTTCCAAGCGTGATAAGGAGTAAGAGCTCCGATAGGTATATAGGATGAGTCCATGGAAGAGAAAATGCAAGACAAGATGGAGTCACTGTAGTCAAGGCTTTAATAAAATGACTCACCGTTCTCACTAGAAATCAATGATTAACTCCCACTGCTTGCTCATAGAGCAGGACTTATAGCTAGAGTAGTGTTCGGCCTGCTTGAGAAGTTGACGTGGCTCGTTGAGCTCACTTTGTTGTGAATAGGATACTCCAAGGAAGAAATTATGAGGGCCCCTTATGCTTGAGGAAAGTCAGAACAAGATGGGAACAATCAATACGGGAAGAAACTTTAAGAGAACAAAGAACAGGCCTCACTAGGGGATACTCACTCGAGTCCCCCTTCCTCTCAGTTGACGTTTTGTTCTGTCTTACTAAACTTCATTTGTCCACCATTCAAATTCTTCGTGAGCTGGGCAAAAGTCACCCAGCCTGGTCACCCAGCATTCCAAAGACAAAAGTACATTGGGGAAGCCAACATGTAATAGCTAATAAATGGCTAGGAATGTCTCTAAGTAAGCCAGGCTCTGTCTTCTCTATCTCTATGTTATGCTAGGAAATAAGATCCTGATTCATTTCACCCAACATGGAGAGAAATCTGGAGACCTCGCCCAGTGCTCTGGGCACACGCAGGCCCATGATGCAGGGCTGGCCGAAGATGGGTGTGACTCTCAGCATAAAGATTTTATTAGGGGGATGCTGTCTCTCTCTCTCTCCCTCCCTCTCTCCCTCCAGCACTTGGAAGAAATAACTTCAAAACAATAAATGATTAGTATGATCGTTTGTCCCCATTTACCAATCACAACAAAATGCTTGCTAACCCAGCTTTGGGTAAACTTCTCTCTGTTCCCCAGGGCTGAATTCTGGCCCTCCCTAAGCTGTCCTAAAACAAGCTGGCTTCAGGGCAAAACATTGCCTGACCTACTATCCCATCAAATTGGCCCTTCATTCCTCCTCTTCATGCCCTTCTTTCTAGTTGCTTATCCCTCCCTAAATGGGAAAAGCCTTACCTGCCTAACTCTGGAGAAGACTGCAGGTGAGAGTTCCTCCCGTACAAAGTTCTTCCCATGTCCCAAAAGTCCCTTCCCCTACATCGCAATAATCCAAACAAGTCTCCTTACCAAGGACTTTTTTTTAACTGTCAGAGGGCACGTGTGCTTGCTAGAGAGAGAAAGTTCCCCTCAATGGTGCCTGGTGATGCTGCAATTCCCTCTCCTCTGTTCCACTTTCCAGTCAACCCAGGCATGTGCTCACATGCATCTGGCATGTCGTTCAAGCCCTGGGACTGGGGCTGAAACCCAGCTGGCGACACTGGATCTGGCTTCCTCCTCATAGCACTTAACTACTGCGCTATGGAGCTGGCCCCACGTGTCTTTCATTTGACACTGGCGAGAATGTGGACTGTCAGATAGCGTTGGAGCCGCCATCTTGGTCTGGGAGGCAGCACAGGAGGGATGGCAGAGCTGGAGGACAGAGGGAGCCTGACTTTCTGCTGGGATGCCACCAGCCAGTGACCACCTTCTTCAATTTGACTCATGTATAAGAAAAATCACCTTCTATGATATTGAAGATCCTGTTGTTTGAGGTTCTCCATCCCATGAAGCCTAACCTACTCCTCCCTGTTACAGCCAGTGGGAAGAAAAGCCAGCTGCAGAAGGACTGGGCCTAGCACAGGGACCTGGGGCCCAGGTCCAGTTCTCCACCATTGCTTGTGGGAGTGGCTACTTCTCCTAGGCCAGAGATGACACTTGGGCAGGAACAGCTAGACCACACGCCACAGAAGAGAAAGGAAACCTATGGGTGTGTTTTTCCAGCTGCTCTAACATGCAAATCAAGAGAGAATAGAAAGGACCCTGGCGATCATCTTGACCTACCCCTTTACTTTATCCATAAGACAACTGTGACCCGGAAGCCAGAGGAATGACCTCAGGCTAAACAACCTACTGGACACAGCAATGAGACCAGTTCTCCAGACACCCACCGCCCAGCACCGTCCCCAGACAATCCTGCCACTGCGAGTAAAGCAGCACACCCTAAACCACCAAGCCCTAGCTCAGGTCTTCACTAGACAGATACAGTAAGAGGGGCCAGCAGGTGCCGTGGTGGGTAAAGGCGCTGGATTTCCACGTGGCCGACCACAGTTCAAGTCCTGGACCTGGCGGCTTGCTTTCTCCCTTTCCCTTTCTTACTCTCTCTCTGGTCAAATTAAAAATTAGTAATAACAGATGGAATTAAATAAATAAATAATTAATTCTTTTTTTTTTTTTTTGAGAGGTTTTTCGCTATAGGGCGCATGCGCTCGCCAGAGACAGAGACAGAAAGTGAGAAATCACCCCCCCGGGGGGGATGGTCACGCCGCAATCCCTTCTTCTCCATTCTCCTCTGGGGATCTTGGGCACGCACGCACATGTGCCCGGCGTGAGTTTTAAGCCACCGGGTCCGGGACGCGAACCGCGGTCGACTACGTGGGAGTCCAGCGACATAGCCATTACGCTAACTGCTGGTTCCCAATAAATCATTATTTTTTACAAAAGAAAGATACAGTAAGAGGAGGCAAGGAGATCAGAGAGCTTTTATACTGGAGGGAAAGGTAAACGTCTCCCTCTAAACACTGAGCCATAGAAAAGGCTAGAACTATTCCAGCCACAATAAGAGATGCTAAGAAGCCTAGTAGGTTAAAGAGAAAAAAAAAATAGGGCTCGAGTGAATTACCTCTTCTTCACCACTGTCAGGAGGAAGGCAGATGTGAGTGATGTTCAGACCAGCCTGGAAAGGAAACACAAGGTTATCTGTCACTCTTACAGGATAGGTTGTTAAAAACGACAATGACTTTTTAAAAACCAGTGGTCCTCACCTCCTCAGCCAAATTCTGATTTATTTCCTGCATCAAGTTGTCATCACCTGCCTTGGGAGAGATAAATATAACAATGTCTTAAAAAGATACAAAACGCAGTAGAGACTGATTTTGTGATTACACGTATCTAATTATACGGGGCAGGAGGGAGGGAATCAAAGAGGCAAAAAATGCAGAACATTTAGTGGGCATGTGGATACAGACCCCAAAGGGCGGAAGGAACCTGAGCACAGCTCTCCCATCTTGGAAAACCTAGCCCTGATGGAAACAGAGGCTGCTATTTTGATACCCCAAGCGCATGCGAAACACCGCAGGGGCAGCCCGGCCATTGGGCCGTGTTCGCTTACAGCCTTGGCTCACCGCATTACTTCCTGCACCTGCTGCCACAGTGTGTCAGCGAGGCCGGCCCACGGTGCCAGATGCAGCTCAGAACTCAGGGGCCGCGGCCAAACTATGCAACGGGAATGCAAAGCACTTGACTCGGGAATGACTTCTGGCCCGTCAAGCTCTGACAGGCTTTACAAGATAGAGTAAAAAGATTACTAAGTACCCGTGTTTCATCTGGCCTCTGTCTTCCACAGAAACAAAGGGCAACTCTTTTCCCAATCACCTGCACAGCACATGTGATAAGCATTTGTAAACATACGTGGACCGCAATATATCCTGCGTGATGCAATTTAGGTGGGTGCAACCTCCTGGCCTCTGAAAGTTACTCACTCCTCAGAGTGGGAGACTCCCAAAAGATGTGCTCAATGAAGAAGTTCCTACTCTGTAGTCCTGAAGAAACAGATGGCCAAAGAAAGTGAAAATCACAGCACTTCCAATCAGCCCTCTCTGTGACAAAAACGCAGCTGGTCTTTTGAATGCAATTCTTCTCTAAATGGAAAGGCATCCTAAAATAGCAGGCTGAGACATGTTCTCAACTCACCTGAATAATAGCAAGAACTGGCTTAAAGGCGGGGTTTTTTTCTTGTAACAAGCTCAGAACTTCCTTTGAATTCTGAATGACTTCTCTACAAAAAAGAAAAACAACGGTCATTTTTTTTTTCTTAAGATTTTTGCCATAGGGCGTGCGCACTGCCCAGAGAGTCAGAGAAAAAGAGAGGGAAAGTAAGAAATCACCTCCCACGGGAGATGGCCACACTGCAATCCTTTCTCCTCCATTCTACTTCTGGGATTTGGGGCACGCACACACACACCACACACACACACACACACACACCTCTGGGGTGATGTTCAAGCCACCAAGGTCTGGGACTCGAACTGTATTCAGCCATGTGGGAGGCCTGCACCTTAACCACCACACAACCTGCTGACCCCAACATAGTTATTTCTAGGTTAATGACTAAAAAGGATTGAACACGGAGTTCCTTAGAAAGCTCATTACTACGAATAAGAATAAACAGAAGGAGGTGCTTCACATACGAAGTGTGAAGGAATAACAGCATCTAGAAATACTAACGCAGTGTAAAACATGACAATCTGATGTTAAAGACATGTTGAGGGAGGCCCAGCAGCTATGTGTGGTGGCAGTGTCAATGCCCTGCAGGCCTGGAAGCCACATGGCCGACCTGGGGTTGGGATCCCTGGGATGGCTTGAAAACACACTGGCCGTGCATGTGTAGCTGCCCAGGATCCTGAGGATCCAGAGGGCTGGGGAAAGGGGACGGTGGCATGCAAGACCCCGCTGAGGGTCTTTCTCTCTCTCATATACATGTGGTCTCATAAAAAAGGGGGGGGGGGTTGGCCCCGTGGCCTGGTGGTTAAGGTAGCTGGACCCTACGTGACTGACCATGTGGTTCATGTCTCAGATCTTGCAGCTCGAACATGCCAGGTGCATGAGTAGGTATGCGCCAAACCCTGACAGGTTGGAGAACTGGAAAAGAAGGGCTTTGCAGTGTGACTATAGCTATGAGGGGTTTTTCCCTTTTCTCTTTCTTTATCTCTCTCTGGTGACCCTCTGGCAAATTAAAACTAAATAAATGAATCATATACTAAAAATACTCAGAAAGAAACAAACTGATGTTCACAGGAGTTGTCTAAGGATGATTTTTTTTTTTTTCTCCTGCATTATCCAAGTCTACCACAATAAAAACTTTGGGTTTCTATCCTCTTTGAAATCCAAACTTTTTATTGTGGTGAACTTGGAAAATGCATGAACCAGCTTCCGAGGGGTTCTGGGAGTTGCTGACAAATGTACCCAGAGGGCACTCTAGCTCTCTGGGAGGTGGGGGTGTGTAGAAAAGTTGTAATGGCTATGTCGCTGGACTCCCATGTAATCGACCGCTGTTTGAGTCCCAAACCCAGTGGCTTAAACTCACGTTGCGCGCGTGTGCGTGCGTGCCCAAGATCTTGAGAGGAGAATGGAGGAGAAGGGACTGTGGCGTGACCATCCCCCTGGGGGGTGATTTCTCGCTTTCTGTCTCTATGTCTGTCTGGCGAGCGCACAGGCCCTATAGCAAAAACCTCTCAGAAAAAAGAAAAGTTGAAAAGCCTCAAAACTCTCACCAGGGTCAGCCTTTCTCCTATCAGCTGGGCTAGAACAAGCAGATTATGTGGGCAGGCAAGTGTATATAACCTCTGAACATTTGTTTGTTTATATTTTTAAATTTTCTTTTTCATGACAGAGAACCCATGTACCGAAATTTCCTTCCCCAAGCCTCCAGTTCGCCAGGACCCTGGGCACCTGCACACCACACACATGTAACCTAACATGCTTTAGATCGACTGGGCTGGGGGATCTGAATACTGAGCATATTACTAATAGCATTCTTCATTGCAACTTCTCAGCTCTTTCACAGGCAAAAGGGGCAGTCTTTTACAAAGACAGCAAAGATTTCCGAAGCAGTCTGGCCCAAAGACAGCCATGACGTTCACAGCAACAGTCTCAGGGAACAGCAGCACAGAGCAGTCCCATAAACCCCTGCACTGGCAACAACAGGGCAGCTGTGGGGATAAAGTGGCCGGGTCCTTCAGATTTCTTTCACCCAGAGCTGGAGAGTGGAGAGTGGCCATCACAGGGTCACCCTGCCTTCCCTGACTGCTTCCCTCAGGACCGTGAAGTCCAGGGTATTTATTAAACCAGCCCCATGCAGGAGCCGGATCAGAGAGCTTAGGCAAGTGACCTCATTTACTGTATTTCATCAAATAAAGGCAGAATGGACACACGCCATTGTGTTATGAACCACCAGAGGGGGAGGCTGCCAGTTAAACTGCGGCATCAGCTTTTCTTAACAGTGTTTACGTATTGACGAGTTTATGACTTATTTCGACGTAGCTGTCGTTTCTGGCCATAAACCACTCGCATATACACATAAGAAAGAAAAGAAATTAATGTGTTCTAAAACTTCACATTCAGGATCTGAGGCTTCTGAACGACTAGGACACAAAAACTCATTTGTTTTGGGGTTTGTCAGTTTTGGAGTGCCACCCCCTTCCCTCCCCCCCTCCCCCCACGGTACCACTCCGTTGCACAGGGAGAGTTGGTGATCTGAGGCCCCCAGATCCGGTCCTGGTCTCGCCTCGGGCCCTGCACCCTGTAACCGGTACCCGGGACGCATCGGAGGCGGGCGGGGCGGGGCGGCGTGCGGAGCCCAGGGGAGCCTAGC